ATATATATATATATCGAGGCGGTTGTATTAGCTGCTAAGTAACTGTTAAATGTAAGCTGAAGTGTAGAAAACATTCATGCATTTAAACTTAGAGACAAAAATATCGACTCTGATCTAAGCACCGGCAACGTGACGTCATGGGAACCAAGACTACCAAGGGGCTTGGCAAAGCGACTAACGGTAGTCACCCAGACGTTGATCCTGCAGATGTACGGACACATCTTACATTTATTGCCCGCCGTCTGCAAAAGGACAACGTATAAATGATAACATTATATAGGTAATGTTTCTATTGAGATAAGAGTTTCACTTTTTGCCATAACCCCTGGGGCTGAAGGGCCGGGGTATAAAAGTTTGTTTGTAGACGAGTTCGATAGACTGAAAAACCGCGACGTACTAAGATCACTAAGGGAAAATGTAAATTCTTGAAGTATTTGATAAAATGCGGCCACATAGCTCCCAAGAAACTATCAAATGTATACTTTCAGTACCCTAACACCACCAGGACAACGTGGCGTCACCGGAACCGAGCGGTTAGTTAACGACAAGCTCTGTGGACTGAATTGAAGATTTAATGAGCCCAACAATGGCTCCGCAGAGATATATAGTTTACATCTTGGAACAGTTTCTAACCTGACGTCTGCAAAAGAACAAGGTGAAAATAACATCCAAATTCCTTTTTTTGTATGCGCAGAACGTGATTGAGGGCAAAAGCTAGGGGGTGAGGGAATCTTCCTGTGTTTCTGGGCAAACGTGCATGATTATTCAGTGGACTGAAGCAAACGCGAGACGAGACACTGAGGTCGCTAAGGAAAAATGTAAATTGTCATACTACACGAGATGTCACGGCAACTAATAAGTCGAACAAGAACAATGCAGACAATGTCTTTCTTGAACTGAAACAGATGGTCAGGTCACTGAAAAAGAATGTTATTTCTTTAATTGAAAGGAGTTGGTTGCGCTGGTGACATTAGCTCCTAAGTAACTGTCCAACGGAAACGGAATCGTAAAGAGCATGTTAAGCATGTTTACGCATCAAAAAAGGATTATAAATGGGCTTTGCCTCCGTTGTGCATTCTCACTTGAGCATTCAACTCATTGAAGACAGAGTGAAGCGGACCTTCTTAGAGATCAGTCCATATCAATTTGAGTGATTTTCCAGGTAAGTAACTCGATCAAAATTATTGACGTGACTAAGTAAAAGTTGCCATTGTCATAACACTGTTGTTTTGTCGGATTTTAATGAATGAAAACTTGAATGATATATGTGAGAAAACGTTTGTCTAAATACAACATTGAAATTTTTCATGTTCCCTGAATACCTTTTTATACAAGGCAAGTAAACAGACCTAAGTAAACTGAAACGAAGTGCCTTTATTGCCCAACTTTTTTTTTTTTTTCATATCATCCAGTAATTATTTTTAATAATCTCTTCAGGTTGCATTTGTTTTGGTGGCAAACATTTGAGTACAGGTTTTCCATGCTTTGCACAACTTTGAAAATTTCAACGGTGTCAACAGTGTGAATTCTTGAGATTTGTGACATTTGCGTTCTGTTGCTGTTTTGCTCAGAAATGTTTAGTATTCTCTTTTTCAATTGATCGAGGTAGCTCGATACCAACGCATTCGAAACCAATATTTACTTTTCTGTGCGTTCGAGGCGTCCTCTCCAGGCTCAGTTGGGTGATTTATTTGTATATCGTATTGTAGTATTAAAATTCGTTCGTTTGATGATCATATCATTTGCGTGGTCGAGAAGAAACAGCCTGAAGCATTCAGCTCAATCATTATTAGATTTCTACCTTGACTACCGTCAAGACAATGACGTCCCAGGTAGATCGAACAATTATCTTTTCCGTCAGTCAACAGAATAATATCAAATAAACCTGAACTTCTATAACACACACCAACGGTGAATTGACATGTTCAGTTTAGTTTGGATCTCAACCTTTTTCTGCGCGAGCTAGTGGCTGATTAGAATCCCTGACTGAAGGACCCCCACCCTCACACACACACACCGTACCCTCCACCCCCACCACAATCGGGAAATTTTTGGTGGGTGTGTTTCACTCCACCGGTTCCTATAATCTTCACTCAATTAACGCCCAACTTTTTACGGCAGCCAAAAAGAATATGAACCGCAAAAGGTAGCGAGAGTAAAAGGGCCGAGAAAAAAGAAAGGAAAGGGGCAAGAAAAAAATCGGAACGGGCAATCGCAAAAACAAACAAACGAAAACAAGTCTAAATTTTGGCTTATGCGCGTGCGCCAAATTAAAATATTTTACATTTTTGTACCTAATCTTGGGGAAATCTATCTTTCTGTAAAAAAAAAAAAAAAATTGCTTTTTCAGCAAAACTAAGACCCATTTAGCGTCATGGCAGCCAAAAGGGACTGATTTAACGGTTAAAAACGGCATTTTTGTGAAAATTTGGCAGTAAAAGGGTTAAGCCTATTCAAACTATCCTACAGATCATGTCTATCTACCACCTTGTTCTCTGTGGCATTTTTCTTCCTGGTATCCAGTCTACAGTAACGGTGGAAACGGGATTCAAAAACTACACAAAGTACGAACATGGTGATATGAACATCATAATCACCGCTCCTCATGGTGGCTTTAAGAGACCATCAACTCAGGATAATCTTGCCAATTGGCCTGACAGAGCGGATGGCTGTAAAGATAGTTTTGGTAAATGCGTCTGGACGCACGACTGTGGTACCACAAGTACAGATTGTGATGCCCGAACATTCAATGACCTGTACACTAGAGCGATCGCGCAAGACATTGCAGACAAAATTAAAGACATTACAGGTGAGGGATATTTGTCATTTAGTTGAAAAACAAGGGTTTCCTATTAACCGGCGTTATTATATGGCTAGCTCCGCGAGCGGGCAAGATAAATCAAATCCTGCGCTGTGATTGGCTACCCGAGCAGGCATGATGGAGCTATCTTGCCCTCTCGGGACTACCCGCCGGTCAATATTTCGAGGGCCATTAGTTTATCAGATTTGTTACTGTCAAATGTTACCCTCTCCAATAAAGTCTACTACTACTACCACTACCACTACCACTACCACTACATAATGATAATAATAACCCATATATACACTGTATGGAGAATCTTTTTGGATAGCAGAGCATATTAAGCATGAGCACTTGAACATATATTCCAGTCGGAGGATAACTTTACAACTGGGTTACAACTCTTCCTGTTTAAAATGATTTCCGCAGAACATTCGAAAAAAAATAAGTTACCAAAAGCCGTCATGGTATGGCAATATTTTGAATACAGGTGAGAAGAACTTATCGAGACTTAAGCTCTCAAGCTGACCCCGCGAGAGAAAATTGAACTGAAGTTATCCATATTTCAATTAAAACGGACGTTTCGCGTTAGTTAAAAACACAATAACACATGCTTTAAGCAATCTTACGACGTTTGACCTTAACTTTCTCGAGAATGCTTGAGAATTTAAACGTGGGGTCACTTAGATAAATGAACTAAAGTGAGTTGTTTTAAACAGTATTCCAAAAGTTACCGTGCCATAAGCAGATTTTTAGTAAATAAGTTTTGTACTTATTGCGCGAACTTTGAGCGGAATCGTCTTAATAAGTGTCAGTGGAGGACAAGCACCAAAAGTACTCTGCTTTCTGTTACGCCTCGCAATAAAATTATAATATTTAACATGAGATAAAAATTATCTGTATGTTGTCACAGGTTTTCGACCACATGTTGTATACAACATGCTAAGTAGGAGGAAGCTTGATGCCAACAGAGAGATCAATGAAGCAACTTTTAATGTACCAGACGCAATTACGGCCTATCAAGACTACACCAACTTCATCAACCAAGCAAGATCGGCTGTCTCCGGTCCTGGCTTCCTCCTCGATGTCCATGGCCAAACACATACACCTGCAAGGACGGAGCTTGGTTACGCCATTCCCGGCAGCAGACTCGACAGTGGAAGCTACACCATTAGCCGGAGCTCTATCAGAAGCCTTGGCCAGTACTGGTGTGGAAATGACAATGTTTGTTTCAAAGATTTCGTCCAAGGTAACAGAAGTCTTGGCCACTTTATGAATGAAGAAGGGCTAGATGCTGTACCCTCCACCCAAGACCCGAGTCCAAACGGTGAAAGCTATTTCTCTGGAGGGTACACTGTGAGGGAATACGGATCAAGAGTCGGAGGTGATATCGATGCCATCCAGATGGAGTTTGATCGTGCATTTCGCCTGGGATGGCGCAATGATGAAGATACACAAGAAAAAGTGGCTAGAGCCATTCTAAGTTTCCGTGAGCTTAACTATGCATGACTATGTAACCTGATGCTTTTTTCAACCCGTAGACCCGTAGAAAACCCAAAAGTAGGTCACACTTAGTGTTGTCGAAGGGAGATTTGTTTGAAATCGTATAGAAGTTTCAGTCTGGCTGTGCACCACTGCATGTAGTTATCAGTTACTAAAGTTACTTGCTACGTCCACAATTATTTTGTGAATTGTTATGGGCAATTACGACGTCTTCTAGGTAAGGCCTGTTTAGTGGCTGAAATTAAGGTTTACATGTAAAACAACACTTAGCGGAGGCTAGCCGCGTTTAGACTCACATGTAGCAAGTACAGAACGGTAGTTTGATTACGGTTTAAATCACACCTTTCTTTGAAGCATAAACTTCCTTACCCTACGGGCCCTAAGGGGTTTTGGCCGGCTTTGAGTTTTCTTTTTCGATTCTCGTCATTCCGTTTAATTTTCACTTCCCCTGGGCATTCTTTACTCATATCTTACATCCCATGAGGTTTGCCAATTCAGTCACTACTTCTTGTAGATATGTCCGTTTTGTAGTTTTGCTTCAAGTCTCTTTTTCTTTCCCNCCCCCCCCCACCCAAACAAAATCCAGCGAAAAGCATATGCTTTACTCGCAGTTATTCGTTCGATACAATTTTCTCTTAATTACAGCCCTCTCCCATTTTGCCATGAGGCGAGCTTTTTACTGCGAGGATATAAGACGTCGAAGTGTCAGTTCAGAGAATTGTACAAGTTTCTATTGATTTAAAAACCAGGGTACTCAGTTGAGATTTAATGATCTTTTTAGCTTATTTTAGTTTACATATTGTAAAGTGAGTAGGTCACGAAGACGTGTAGCTGTAAGAACTGTGGAAACATGATTTTCCATTATAAACTAGCAATGTAACATTTAACTGTAAGTGTAAGAAAAATTAAATGCTTGTAATCAGTTTCGCGAAAATGTTCACTCGATCTTACGATATAGTTTTTTCCCTTCTTCACAAAAAGTCTGGTAACCGTTTACGTGTTAATACAGTGCAAGCCTAGACTTTCGGTTTTAATCAATCCTAACCCACTTCAGCCTTGATGCTACAAACTGTTCCTAAAGAATGTAGAATATGATCTACCGCCGCCAAAGAATTCGATTTGTTTTAATTCTTTACTTTACATGGCTATGAGAGCCAATCATGGAGATATTAAGTTCATCTCTAACCAACACCCCCCAAATGAAGCCCCAAGCACAGAGCTAATCCTCCGTTCAACCCTTTACACAGTGCTGAGTTTCCTTTGAAGACTCTTTGAACATCAATCAAGGCGTACTGACCTTCACATCCTGTAGAGGGGGCTGATTCGGGCTGTCAGCCATCATGGTCTCGCATGGGTATTCAAAGGACATGTAGCCCAGACCGGCTGACAGCTTCTGAGGAACTTCGCCTAACCTTGTAACTTCCACCACAGGTTTATTACGTTTTTGTAGTTCGGTGATCTGTCCTCGTCTGTTCATTGAAGGAGAGCATACAATTTGCTGCGACTGAAGCTAAACGTTCTGCTCATGTCCCTTTCTTTGCCATCATGTGTTTGTACGACCAAGAGCCATACATTAAAGTGCCTATGAAGTAAAAAATAATTGCTGCTGATTTTGAAGGCTTTTCAAAGTAAAGAAGAATGGCGTTTTCCTTTTTGGAATATCTTTTTTTGTTTTAGAGATATTCACGTTTTTATAGTATAAGTGATGGCGTCATTGGTGGTTCCACTAAAACAGTTCAACACTCAATCAAGAATATCTCTAGAAATATTAAAGCAATGTTCTTGAAACTTGGCATCAGAAATGTATATCACAAAAGAAACAAAATGACACCCGTCATGCCATCGCCATGACAACAGTTATGCCGCTGGTCCTGTTTCAATTAAAACGAACATTACCAGATTTTATCTTAAACAAGGATCATCCACTCCCAACAATCTAATGGGGAGAGTTAAGACAATATGG